ATGCTATAAACAAAAAATTATAGGATTACTTACCGAGTGTGCACCGTTTGACTACGCCGTTGCTCAAAGCTTGTTTTCATCGCGGAACAGCACACGAAATGGCGGCCGCGATTTCTGATAACGAATTTTTCGCAGAAAAATAACTTGACCTTTGGAGACATCATTAATATAAATAATTTTTATGGCCGTTGAATAAGAAGTGTTTCTTTCACAAGAAATGTATAAAATTAGTGTTGTATTAGACTTACGGTACCTAATTTACATACTGTACAGACGATAATAAACTCAACTTACTAGCCTAAACTCTCCGTAACGTGGCGCCGGGCGGCGGAAAGCATATATATAATTATAATAAAGTTACAATAAATTAATATATAATTATATATACAGTACCTAATTTATATATAATTATATGTACAGTACCTAATTTATATATAATACTGTACAGATGATAGCAAACTCAATTTAGCCGCTCCGTAGCGTGGCAGGTTCGGCTGCTCATCCACTATTGGTCCAGATTCTATCAATCTTGTCGCAAAACAAGTCGGCGACGACGTTTTAGGAGCTCCTTTATACGAATGTTGCTACAATTTTTTCGCTATGTTATAGGAATTTCCGTTATAGGAACGCACGTTATAGGGGGTCGACTGTATATATGTTATATATATATATATAGCTATGCATAAATAAATTTTACTGTACAATGATAGAAGTACTGCTTTAAAATATTTTTTTTAAATTGTAATTGTGACATGCCAACATTGTGGCAATAATATAACTTAAAAAATAATATATAACACAATTCAGATTTATCAAAAGATTCTGTTTCTAAAGCAGAAGTTTTAATACTTTATTTATCCATATCATTATTTGTTTTTTCCCCTTATCATCATAAAAACATCTCCAGGTTTTAGTACTTTAAAATTCTTCTTCCATCTTTTTTTTTTTTGAATAATTTCAAAATTTATATTTCGTAAACTTAATAAATACTTTTGTAAACAAACAGATTTTTGATATTTATTAATCAACATACAAATCCATCATTTATTACAATTGAAAATATCTTAAACAAAATAGAGCTAAAAAATATTTAATATTTAAAATTACTTCTAACAGTTTCCATTCAAATGTGTTATAGTTTAATTTGTTTTATAATTAACATAAGAAATCAGAAGTCATTTTAACATTTGATTTATAATAAAAGTATGCAAAATTAAATGAGATATTTTTCAAAATCATAAATTTTTAAGAAAATCCAGTTATTAAAACTCTGCTTACTTTACTGTTACTTACTGGGCTTTTTCATGTCTTTAAACATGCTTCAGTAATATGAAATAGTCCTAACATACATTCTTTAAATTTTATTGAATTATTTATTTAAATAGAATATATTTTCAATTCTAAGTTAAAATAAATATCATCTATAAAGATGATACATTTTATTTTCAGGCATTATAAAAGAATTTTATAGAATGGACAATGTGTGAATGTTTACAGTTTTTGTGTTATATTGTATCTACAACATAAAAAGACCAATATTTTAGCTTTGATTCCTTCTATACTGAGCTGACTTTACAATTTTTTCCCCATTCTTGCTAATTAGGTCAAGCAGAAATAACTTAACTGGTCTTAACCATAATTAAACATCTAATCATCATACATTTTATCAAGTTGAAAAAATTTGTAACAAAGCAATTTCTTTTCTTCAGTATCGATTATTGTTTTTGTTCAAGCTTAATTTTGAATATATTGTCCTCATTGTTTTATGAGAAATTTTACATTTTAAAATTTGATGTTAATAGATACCTAAGTAATATTTTCAAAAATGACTCCCAATTTCAGATTTTATTTAACTATTCTCTACTTAAAGAATCTTAAAACATATTTAAAATTATCCAAGAATAAATATTTTTATATATTACTACTGGAAACTGTAATAAAGTTTTCTATCCTTAAGATGATTAAGTAACATGGTGTTCTATTAGGCACAATTACCTCATCTGTTACTGTAGAAAACTCCAACTTTTCTGGAACAGCAACTCTCCTTTCAAAAATATTTGAATTTTCTGAAGTGACTGTTGTTATGAAATCATGATCAGAAAGTTTTCCCGCTTGAGCACGTAGAATAGATATATAACTAGTTTCCATATTTTGACCTGATCAAGTAAAATATAAGACATCATATATAAATCAATATATTTACAAATAAGCTATACACTACTTATACTAGAAAATTAACAAAACTATAGGGGTTTTGATAATTTTCAAGTATTTACAATTTTAATTATATAAAATTTAAATTCAGGGAAATTCACAATATTGAACTTTATGTAAAGAAACATAATTTAATATCATAAACTAAATTAAATTTTTTCAAATTAAAATATATCTTCTTACATGAAAAATCTTTTTTTGAAAGACTTTTATAAATTAAGTAATTAAAAATATATATTACTAACAGACCCCACCATGCATTGTTGTGGCTCAAAATGTATCTATTATAAATGTATAACACTTCCCCCGTGGGGGGAAATTTTTCGAAAAATCCCTTAGTGTACATTTTCTTGACGTACCCTATTAAAACGCAATCAAAAATGCAAAAAACCACATCTGAAATAGTATAATAGAAGCAAGTTCTTCACGGTAAGCCTTAATCCTGTTCCTCTCCCCCATGGGGGAAATATCAAAAAATCCCTTTGTAGTGTATATTCTGTTGACGTACCCTATTTAAACGCAATCAAAAACGCTTCTAAAATAGTATAAATAGAAGCAGAGTTCTTTATGGTAAGCCTTAATCCTGCCCATCTCCCCCCAGTGGGGGGAATTTCGACATGTATATTATATAAAAACACGTGTGTATTCGAATGCAACGTTGTTTCAAAATTTCAAAGGAATCGGTAGGAACAAACGAACATTACATTTTTATTTATATAGATGATCTGCTTTAGTTCATTTTCACAGAAAAGCAAACTTAGGGCATTGTACTCGTAGCACCATCTGTTGGACATAAAAGCCTTAACCTAGATTATATATTTTAATTTATATGAATGTTTAACGGAATAATATACAGCCTATGTCCACCCTGAGGTTCCATTCTAAATACTGGTGAAAGAATTTTTGAAATCAGATGAGTAATTTCGGAGATTTACCTGCTGCAAACAAACTTACAAACATTACCTCTTTATAATATTAGTACAGACTATTACCCCTAAATACATTTAGACAAGTCAGCACAGTCCAAATTATTCTAATGATCAAATGATGAGGCCAGGTTAATTATTGAGCTAGAACTTGACTAATTTCATAGATACCATATAATTTGGACAAAAGGTAGACAAGTTAAACTGCCATATTGTATTAAATTTAACAATTAGATTAATTTTTGAATTAAATTACATAATTTATACTATTCTGAAAGGAAAGATTAATCTGGAGCAGGATTCAAATCTGCAACTGTCAATACATCTGTGTTGTAAACAGAAGTACAGATTCCAGATCCTCTCCTGTTTCATCTTTTCTCTCAGAAAAGTCTAAATTATTTAATTCAAAAATCAATATAAATATTAAATTTAATACAACATGGCAGCTTAATTATCTACGTTTAGTACAGTTTAGTTTATTTCATGGCAATGCGACACATAAGCATTGCCAGTCCAGTCCAAATCCTGCAAGGGAATGCCTCCTTTGAGGACTTTTAAGGGAAACTGTTCTCTACTTAGGTGTTACAAACATGAAAAAAACCCAGAAAACTCCACATAGCCAGCTATTTTTGGCAAGACACAATTCCATTACCAATCACTAATAGATCAATGGACAAAACCACTGATCTATCGGTGGTCAGTGATTTTATCCACTCTGCAACTGGTGAACACCTTTAGTACAGATAACAAAATGTCTTTAAAATTAATTGGCCAAGTTCTAGCCTGATAGTTAATCTGGTCTTATGGTCATTGCTCCTAAATATTTAAAATATATAGCTATGCATAAATAAATTTTACTGTACAATGATAGAAGTACTGCTTTAAAATATTTTTTTTAAATTGTAATTGTGACATGCCAACATTGTGGCAATAATATAACTTAAAAAATAATATATAACACAATTCAGATTTATCAAAAGATTCTGTTTCTAAAGCAGAAGTTTTAATACTTTATTTATCCATATCATTATTTGTTTTTTCCCCTTATCATCATAAAAACATCTCCAGGTTTTAGTACTTTAAAATTCTTCTTCCATCTTTTTTTTTTTTGAATAATTTCAAAATTTATATTTCGTAAACTTAATAAATACTTTTNCATTATTTTATATATATTACATATATATGCGTTAAAAAAAAAAAAAATATATATATATATATATATTTTTCAATGCATATGGCCTAGTTTTGTTTATTTTATCCTTAAATACTTGCACAATAAATTTCAGCTCATTTTGGTCACTAGAACCCGTGCCGACTTGCATCAAATCATGTCCATAGATGTTGTGCTAGAGAAGTGGCACATATTCATTTTGTTCGCAATTCTAACACAACTTGTCAGGCTATTAACACATACAGTTTTATTTTTTGAAGATGTCGATGGAATTACGAAGCGCTAAAAAACATATTTTCTTAGTCGGAGAGATAAACCACCAAATCACAGGTGCAAAATTACTGTCAAATTGGCAAGTACTCGCAGTTTTGTTTTTTAACATTCGTGAAGTTAAATTAACTGTGAGTGAAAGTGCAAATCTTGTAATATGCAAGTATATCATATTTTGGGAAAAGATCAATTTCATTATACCAACATTCCACTGTATATAGAATAAATTATTTATGAGTAATCTATCTGGAAGAGACACAATAAAATAACCAAGAGTTTTTAATAAAGACAATTTTCTAGTTCTAATCATAACAACAAATTTTTAGTTATAATTAATTNATAATCAGAAAAACATTTATGTGTTACAAATTATTTCCTTTCAATAACTCAATTTAAAAAATTTAAATGGAAAATTTTAGTAAAAAATAATAATATAAATTTTATAATGATAATGTATGATGGTAAAACTGTTATACAATAGCTTAATTTCATCTGTATAAGCTAAGATAGAAGACTGAGGAAGTAAAATATTATTATAAACTACAAAAAAAATACTTAAAAACAATCCATGAAGAATTTCAAATACAGAAGATTTCATATTTCAAATGCTTGAAATATGAAATGTGATTTTTTACTATCTGATATTCTTTCTGCCTTGACTGATATAAAATCAATATTTGATTTTTGATTTAATATTATTTATAATTTGATACAAAAATTACTTAAACAATTTAATAGCAAATATGAGCAATTTCAAAATTAGAATTTTATTAAAATTAAAATTAGCATTTTAATTAAAATAAAAGAAATAGAAATAATTGAGTCAAATGCTTTTCAAATCATAAATAGTAAATATTGTTCTAAGTTTTATGAATTTTCATTTAATTTTCTAATAAATTACTGACAGTAGGACAATGCAGAATTCCAGTGTTAAGCATAATTAGGATTAGAGATCGGAATATACACTACTGGCCATTAAAATTGCTACACCAGAAAGGCAGCACACCACACATATGAAATTTGCATGACAAATAGAACTTGCTGTGATAAGTGAATGATTAGCTTTTCAACACATTCATGCAAGGCAGGCAGCAGTAGTGACACCTACAATGTGTATAAAAAAAGAGATTTTACAGCAGGTTTCTCATACAGAAATTGCATTTGAATGCTGTTTTCTGTTAAGAACGTTGTTGTTATGCCTCATGTAAGGAGGCAAAATGCCTACCAGCACATGTCTGACTTTGATCGAGGCTGAATTGTAGCCTACCAGGATTGTGGTTTATCACATCACAGTATTGCTGTGCGTGTTGGTTGCGATCCCATGACTGTCAGCAGAATATGGAATCAATGGGTTCAAGACAGTCATACAGAATGCTGTGCAGGATCTCAGCAACCCCCATCACTAAGTCGAGAAGATAGACATCTTATCCAAATTGCCTTAACGGATTGTACAGCCACATCACAAACCCTTAGTCAAGAAATGGGGTCGTCTGCAAGAAACAAGTGTCTGCATGAACAGTTCAACAATGTTTACAGCAGCATGGACTGTCAGCATGGCGACCATGGTTTTAGCTACCCTTGACACTGCATCACAGGCAGGAGCCCCTCCAATGGTGTGATCAATGATGAACCTGGATGCAGGAATGGTGTCACGTCATCTTTCAGACGAATCCCAGTTCTGTTTAGAGCACCATGATGGCCAAATCCATGTTTGGAGGCATTGTGGAGAATGCACATTGCCAGCATGCATTTGCCATCATCATACTGGCCATCACCTGGAGTGATGGTATGTGGTGCCATTGGATACACGTCTCGATTATCTCTTGTTCACATTTCCAGCACTTTAACAGCTGCTGTTACATTTCTGATGTGTTAAGCCCTGTGGCTCTGCCCTATCTTTGAGATCTCTGTAATGCTACATTTCAGCAGGACAATGCACAATCACATGTTGCCCATATTGTCCCAACCTTCCTTGATACAGAACATGTTCAACTGTTACCCTGGCCAGCACGTTCTCCTGATCTCTCACCAATTGAAAATGTCTGGTCAATGGTTGTCGAGCAACTGGCATGCCAGTCACTATGGTCGATGACCTGTGGCATAGTGTTGAAGCTGCATGGACTGCTGTACCCATACATGCCATCCAATCTCTGTTCGACTCCATGTCCAGTCAGATAAGTGTTGTTATTGCTTCCAAAGGTGACTACTCTGGGTATTGATTTCTCAAGATCTATACCTCCAAATTTCCTGAAAATTTAATTATTTGTTCTTTCCACTATGATGTATGTGTCTAATAAATATCAATCTGTTATTTGCATTCCTTCCTGGTGTAGAAATTTTAGTGGCCAGTAGTGTATAGTTTTAGTGTAATAGGTTTAGTTCTTATATTTTATATGTAAGACATTTATATTTAAAAATTTTTTGTTGTCCATTAAAATTTCAATTTGTCATAATTTTAACAGTGTATCTATTCACATTAACAAATAACATAGTTCATACAATTAAGCTGAAAAATGTAAATAAATTCTTTTCAATTTCCTTAAATTTCTCAGTTTTATTATGTAAATTATGTTAATTTATAGTGCGAAATTCTTCTAACAGATTAATCAACTTGATAGAGAAATTATTAATTCTTAGTCCTCAGTATGATGTTTATTATTTTAATTGGTTGGATCATTTTACTAATCTTATGAAACTTATAAACATTAAAACAGAGGTATTCAAAGACATATGAATGCTAAATCGAATTAAATACATGTAGATATGTATGTGTTATCATGTCTATGCAATAATTTTACCATATTTGTTTTGGGAATCATTGCTGTTTGAAGTTATAAAAATAATTATATAAATTTTATATAATTTCTAAAATCATCTTGTGAAATTTCTTTTATTTCCACCATTAGTTTATTCTATAAAACTTTTTAAACAAAATCTATTACAAATGATTAAAAATTAAATATTGTTATTTTTGATATATGCTTCTTGTCCTTAATTACTTATGTTATACTTTTGTTTGCTTTGGATGTTCATGTGAACTAGGATTTGTTATACTGAGGGGAAAAAATACACATTTTCCAATTAAAATATATTTACTGTAATGTAATCTTTAATGCCACTACAATCCAGCATTTCAGGCCAATGTCCCTCCTCAGCAGATGTTACCTTTTTTATGTTTATATTTTATTTGAAGAATCAGTCCCAGAAATTTGGAATCACCTGTACATTTATTTATTTATTATGTTTGATTTGTAATGAACATGAAATTATTTCCCTTCATGTAAGTGGAGTAATAAATAAGTATCTTGATAAATTCAAAAATACTTTGTAAATTTAGAAACTTCTATATTTGCCAATTCCTGATGTAAACATTGTGAACAAGAGGTGATTGAGATGTGTTTCCAATGGCACCACATACCATCACTCCAGGTGATGGGGCCAGTATGATGATGTCAATGTACATTTTTTCTGAATATGAAAAACTAAGCACACATGATATTATCCAATACATTTTATTACAATTCTTAACATATATGCATTTTGGGTTTTAATGAAGAAAAGCTAAAACTGAAAATACGTATTAACATTAAGAATTATAATAAAATGCATTGTCTGCTTACTCTTCGTCATTCGAAAGGAATGTGACTGTTTACATTGGAAATAATAAATATGTTATTTAGGTTTCTAAATTTACAAAGTACTTTTGGATTAATCATTATTATTACAATCTGATCCATAGTTTGTGAGATTTAATAAATAAATATCTTGTTGGATAGTTGAATTATAAATATAAAAGTAATTATTACTAGCTTTAGAAAAAATAAAATGATTGATTTACCTCACTAATATTTGTTACTCTTTTGCTTTCAATCAGCTGATATGCTCTAGAAACTGGAAGAGGTGATGTAGGAAGAACAAAATCACTTCGATTTAAAATTACAAACTTTTCATCAGATTTAAGTCCCAGCCATTGACAAAATTCTTTTACATCATTTACACTTTCAAATGCTAAAATATGTTTCAGTTCTAACATCGGAAACTGTAAAAAAAAATTATATTTTAAATAATTTTTAATTTATTGAATAATAAGCATAATATTTATAATAATACCCATTAGCTTAGCTCAACCAGATTAATATTTTAGAGAGAGATAGAAAGGGTTTTAAAGAATTGGCAAATCAAATGCTTCTTGATGAAAACAAATCAAGATAAAGATTTTTCAATAAAATTTGTGTCTTTAAAAAAAATGTATATTATTATTATGTTGGTTTAGTGAGTTATACTCAGTTGACACCAGTTGCTGTGTAGTATGACAGACCAATGTCAAGACACAGAACCAACACAAGACAAAAATTTAATAAGTGTGTCAGTATTCATGAGTTTCCTAATATGACATGTATTTTATTATTTTTAATATTATTATAATATATATATACACTATATTTTCTTGATTAAATTCCAGATATTTTTGAGATTGGGGTTTATTACCTTGCAACAGGAGACAAGAAGATAAAAGTTGGAAGAAATACCTTAATTACTTATATATTTTCCAAACTATCAAAACTGTTTATTAACTGTATTTATAAGTTGCAACTACAACATTTATAGATTGCAATAATTACTGTTTTCATAGTTAATCTTGATTCGTATGATTACAGTCATAGGAATCAAGATTAACTATGAAAACAGTAATTATTTCAAATGCTGCAGTTGTAACCTATAATTTGAACCAGAAAATAGGAATCAAAATCTTGGCTACCATCATAGGAATCAAAATCTTGACTACCTTCTTCTGATTCAAATTCACCATCTCTTTTGGAAAGATATGTTGAGTGTGAACCAGAGTTTCCTACTGACTTGTATCATTTTCCAGAATGAATAAGTTGAACTCACATCTACATTTTCACCAGCCTTTAGTATGTTGCATTTTTTCCATAAGTATATTTTCTTAAATTGAAAACTAGAGCAGAGCATTGATTATCTGAATCAAATGGGGACCGAGGTTGTTTGGAAAACTGATTTTTCGAATAACCAATTATGTACAAAAAAATATATTAACCTATCCCATGTTGAAATTCGTTCAAATCCTGGCACGTCCTTAAGTACTCTTTCATGGTCACGCAGTGCTGCCAGCTAAAACATGCATACCAACAAAAATGATATTGGAGTAGTCCAAGACTTAGCCAAAGATTGCANAAGATTAGACAAATCTTATGAAACTTATAAACATTAAAACAGAGGTATTCAAAGACATATGAATGCTAAATCGAATTAAATACATGTAGATATGTATGTGTTATCATGTCTATGCAATAATTTTACCATATTTGTTTTGGGAATCATTGCTGTTTGAAGTTATAAAAATAATTATATAAATTTTATATAATTTCTAAAATCATCTTGTGAAATTTCTTTTATTTCCACCATTAGTTTATTCTATAAAACTTTTTAAACAAAATCTATTACAAATGATTAAAAATTAAATATTGTTATTTTTGATATATGCTTCTTGTCCTTAATTACTTATGTTATACTTTTGTTTGCTTTGGATGTTCATGTGAACTAGGATTTGTTATACTGAGGGGAAAAAATACACATTTTCCAATTAAAATATATTTACTGTAATGTAATCTTTAATGCCACTACAATCCAGCATTTCAGGCCAATGTCCCTCCTCAGCAGATGTTACCTTTTTTATGTTTATATTTTATTTGAAGAATCAGTCCCAGAAATTTGGAATCACCTGTACATTTATTTATTTATTATGTTTGATTTGTAATGAACATGAAATTATTTCCCTTCATGTAAGTGGAGTAATAAATAAGTATCTTGATAAATTCAAAAATACTTTGTAAATTTAGAAACTTCTATATTTGCCAATTCCTGATGTAAACATTGTGAACAAGAGGTGATTGAGACGTGTTTCCAATGGCACCACATACCATCACTCCAGGTGATGGGGCCAGTATGATGATGTCAATGTACATTTTTTCTGAATATGAAAAACTAAGCACACATGATATTATCCAATACATTTTATTACAATTCTTAACATATATGCATTTTGGGTTTTAATGAAGAAAAGCTAAAACTCAAAATACGTATTAACATTAAGAATTATAATAAAATGCATTGTCTGCTTACTCTTCGTCATTCGAAAGGAATGTGACTGTTTACATTGGAAAATAATAAATATGTTATTTAGGTTTCTAAATTTACAAAGTACTTTTGGATTAATTATTATTATTACAATCTGATCCATACTTTGTGAGATTTAATAAATAAATATCTTGTTGGATAGTTGAATTATAAATATAAAAGTAACTATTACTAGCTTTAGAAAAAATAAAATGATTGATTTACCTCACTAATATTTGTTACTCTTTTGCTTTCAATCAGCTGATATGCTCTAGAAACTGGAAGAGGTGATGTAGGAAGAACAAAATCACTTCGATTTAAAATTACAAACTTTTCATCAGATTTAAGTCCCAGCCATTGACAAAATTCTTTTACATCATTTACACTTTCAAATGCTAAAATATGTTTCAGTTCTAACATCGGAAACTGTAAAAAAAATTATATTTTAAATAATTTTTAATTTATTGAATAATAAGCATAATATTTATAATAATACCCATTAGCTTAGCTCAACCAGATTAATATTTTAGAGAGAGATAGAAAGGGTTTTAAAGAATTGGCAAATCAAGTGCTTCTTGATGAAAACAAATCAAGATAAAGATTTTTCAATAAAATTTGTGTCTTTAAAAAAAATGTATATTATTATTATGTTGGTTTAGTGAGTTATACTCAGTTGACACCAGTTGCTGTGTAGTATGACAGACCAATGTCAAGACACAGAACCAACACAAGACAAAAATTAAATAAGTGTGTCAGTATTCATGAGTTTCCTAATATGACATGTATTTTATTATTTTTAATATTATTATAATATATATATACACTATATTTTCTTGATTAAATTCCAGATATTTTTGAGATTGGGGTTTATTACCTTGCAACAGGAGACAAGAAGATAAAAGTTGGAAGAAATACCTTAATTACTTATATATTTTCCAAACTATCAAAACTGTTTATTAACTGTATTTATAAGTTGCAACTACAACATTTATAGATTGCAATAATTACTGTTTTCGTAGTTAATCTTGATTCGTATGATTACAGTCATAGGAATCAAGATTAACTATGAAAACAGTAATTATTTCAAATGCTGTAGTTGTAACCTATAATTTGAACCAGAAAATAGGAATCAAAATCTTGGCTACCATCATAGGAATCAAAATCTTGACTACCTTCTTCTGATTCAAATTCACCATCTCTTTTGGAAAGATATGTTGAGTGTGAACCAGAGTTTCCTACTGACTTGTATCATTTTCCAGAATGAATAAGTTGAACTCACATCTACATTTTCACCAGCCTTTAGTATGTTGCATTTTTTCCATAAGTATATTTTCTTAAATTGAAAACTAGAGCAGAGCATTGATTATCTGAATCAAATGGGGACCGAGGTTGTTTGGAAAACTGATTTTTCGAATAACCAATTATGTACAAAAAAATATATTAACCTATCCCATGTTGAAATTCGTTCAAATCCTGGCACGTCCTTAAGTACTCTTTCATGGTCACGCAGTGCTGCCAGCTAAAACATGCATACCAACAAAAATGATATTGGAGTAGTCCAAGACTTAGCCAAAGATTGCAGCACCACAGCACTAGCAGAAATTTAAATTTGCCGACTGAAAAGCTTTTGATTAATTGACATTTCGGTTGATCGATATTCGGATAATTGATGCTCTACTGTATTTATAAATGAATAGCATATTAAGTCTTTAAGAGAATTTTATTTTCCTAAAATAATTTTGTTAAATAATATACCAGATAGCTTATAAAATTTTTTGACTTTCTTCACATTTTCATAGTTTTCAAAGCTTAAAAAATTGTTAGGTATGAATAATCAAACAACAGAGCCAAGGATGATGAACTGTATGTATGTACGTATGTAGACCTGAATAATATAATTAAAACTTATGTGGGGGGACCCAAAAATAATGGGAAAAAATTCAGAAAACATTGTGTATTTATTTTAACAACTTCATATTTTAATCTCCTTTAAAATACTCTCCATTAGTCTCAATACACTTGTCCAAACATTTTTTCCATTGTTCAAAACACTTAGAAAATTCCTGTTCTGAAATGCCTCTTAGTGCCTCCATTGTTTTGTTTTCACCTTTTCTATTGTCTGAAATTGCTTCCCTGCTTCCCTTTGAGTTCCCTCTTCATCCTGAGGAACAAAAAAAAATCACAAGGTGCGAGATCAGGTGAATAGGGAACAGGGAGTCATGCTGTTTCTTGTTGAAAACTGCTGCACAGAGAGCATCGTATGAGCAGGCACGTTTTCTTGATGGAAAAACCAATCCCTGTTTGCCACAAGTCCACAAGACCCTTCCTTCCCTTCTCACAGCATCACAAAGTCTTTTGAAGACTTCCAGATAACAATGTTGAGTGACTGCCTGGCCTGGATGGATGAATTCGAAATGAAAAATTCCTTTCATATAAAAAAAAAAACAGATTAACATGGTTTTCATATTCAATTTCACTTGTCTTGCTTTTTTGGGACAAGGAGATCCTGATGTTTTCCACTGGCTAGATTGATGTTTGGTTTCCAGATTGTAATCATAATTCCAAATTCATCACCAGTTATCACCTCAGAAAAAAAGTCTGGATCATTTTCCAAATGTTCTTTCAAAGCCTGACAATTTGTCAAGCAATTGCCTTTCTGATCAGTGATCAATAAACATGAAACAAACTTTGCAGAAACTCTTTCCATGCTGAGTTCTTGTGACAAAATTCAATGAATCAAACTCCACAAAATACCAGACAAATCAATGAGTCTATCAATGATTTGACAACAATCTTTGTTGATGAGATCGCAAATTTTCTCAACATTTTTGTCAGTTCAAACATTGAATGAACAACCAGACCTGGGTTGATTTTCAAAAGATATTTCCCCTTTTTGAAAGCAGGAAAACCATTTGTAAACCTTTCTCTTACTCATGGCATCTTGTTTGTAAGCACATTGAATCATTTCAACCATATCTGATCCGCTTTTCCCTAAACAGGAAACAGAATTTCTCAGCAGAGCATTGCTCTTTGAAATCTGACATTGCGTTTTCGACAAAAATGAAAAACAGCTCTCGCAAAAAAAAAAATATCACTATGGGCTAACAACTATTGACATCTTGATGCCGCTTCACATACTGATTCCAGAAGATTCTGCCTACTGACATCTAGTGGCAGAAATGCATACTATGAACATCCCACCCTCCACAAAATTATTCTCATTATTTTTGAGTCTCTCCATGTATTTGTCCAATATGTAAGTTAATATAATTCAAATCTTACTATATAATAGTTCTTTTCTTCTAGATATTTTAAATTAATGTGTGCACATTGTGTGTGTGTGTATATATATATTTAAATTTCATGTTAATGTTTAACAGGCACTTAAATTTCAGCCTGACATCTAAATATTAAGGCAACTAATTTTAAAATAAAGATAATAATAATATAATATAATAATAACTTATGTAAAAATCCCAGGCTGATAAAACAATTATGCAAAATTTCCAGCTAAACGACGTAAGTATACACGTACGAGCAATTCATCATTTTATTTTTCAAATTTCCGTAAGGGAAAATATGGGATTTTAATCATATATGGGATGACTATGAATAAATTTTATATATATTTATATGTATATATAATATGGGTCGAATTAAAAACCCTATAAGCACTTAATATGTATTATGACAAAGCTCTGAATTAAAAAGGGGCAAACACCTGAGATGCTAAGTATTATATGACTAAAATATAATTAGAATTTGTCTTCACTTTCTAAATTTGATGATAAACACGAAGGGACGACACACGAACACAAAATTTTTCCCAGTGTATGCAGGAAAGTTTGGGATTCATTTAGGTACCAAAATATCACTGCACGTTGACTCACTCACTACAAACAAACTAGATGACGTAGAGGTATATCGGTAATGAATTAACCAGGGTGCGAGCTACAGTTGTCCTGTTTTGGACTAGGGGACACACGGCTCGCCAGAAAGACCCTGTTACCACGTTGAAACGAGGTGGAACCATCTAATAATAAATCTGTTTTTGCTTTTAAAGTTCATATACCATCTACACATTATATCTCCCACCAATAATATATCTCACATTTACAAATATAATATAATATATATAATATATATGTATATATATATATGTATAGATATATACAATCAATGGAACTTTTCCCTAAATTACAAAAAAAAAATGAACAAACATCCCGTTTAGTATTTTATGCACGAAGAAATGCTGGGTCGGTGCTTCCACAGAAACAAAACCGGTAAACTGAAATGTCCGATTAAAAAAAATGAGAGTCACGACTTCGACCGGTCTGCGCTGAAGCTTCTCTTACCATTTTTTGAACTTGGGCCTAGAAAAGTCTTCTGGGAAGGAAAACTTCATGGCAATCTTTCCAGACGTAACCTAAGTCTGTCGTCTTCTCCTTCCGGGCGAGGGTCCACGGTGGTGGAGCGACCGAGTCTTCCGCCGGGCCGGAAATCCGAGACCAATTACTCTCTTGGACAGGATAAAACGGGGACGGGCGCGGAGCGCTCTCTCCCCGCCGTCCAANTTAATATAATTATTCTCTGCGCCATCTTTTGCCTTTAAGATATGATTTGAGACCACAAAAATTTTTTCTTATGCTTTGGCATTGTTTTTTTATTTCTACTCACACACAACGGTCCTCGACTATTCGAAAAGATTTAAGATTAAGATTAAAATTACATTATAGGCAATCTTACCCATTTTCACAGAATGCAAGAATTAGGTCCCCCGTTTCCAGACTAATTAGTGAATTTTTACATAGGTCTAAAAATTTGTTCTACATAGGTCTAAAAATATGTTCGATTTCCTGCAAAAATGCAAAAAACCACATCTGCATCTGTAAATCTTGCACGCCGCTTTCTCTTAACACTTCGACTGTTATTTAACCACTTCCATTGTTAAGACTTCCCCGCAGGAAGAATTTTGAAAAATCCCTTCTTAGTGTACATTCTCTTGACGTACCCTATTAAAACGTAATCAAAAACACAAAAAACTGCATCTAAAATAGTATAATAGAAGCTGAGTTCTTCATGGGAAGCCTTAATCATGTCCCTCTCTCCTGTGGGGGGGACGCAATAAACGTGGTACACAGTTAGGGTGCATGACGCACCCTGTGTACCAAATTTCAACCTTCAACTCCTAACCGTTTGGGCTCTGCACTTATTATTATTATTCGGAGTGGCTATTTCAAAGGGCAATTTTGGCAACCAAAAATAATATTGTTGAGAATATCAACTTTAATACCGTATTCAAAAGAAAATTCCTGGTAATATTCAAAAGAAAATTCAGAACTGGCAAGAGCTCCTCCTCTTTTAGGTTTGGGCATTGTATAAAATATAAATCAAATCAACATTTTTTTAACAAATACACTAAGTACACTTTACACAGTTTTCACACTTTATTTTCAATTTATATTCAGTCACTGTATCACTTTGACTACTCACACTTCACTGTTTTTATTCACTCACTGCACTACTTTGAAATTTTCACTTATTTTTCGGTTCTTCCCTTTGTCACTGATAAGAAACTGACGTTCAAACGCATGATGGATCTTGCTTTATATACCCCCACCAATGGGTAGTCCCACTCATACCAAAAAAGCTTCGAATGGTCCACAATGTTCCAGAACATTCCACAACATTCAAGAGTGTTCTGGAATGTTCCACAATGATCTGGAATGTTCCGGGATGTTCCCGAACATCCCTGAACATTCTGGAATGTTGTAGAATGCTCTCAAATACTCTCAAATGCTCTGGACTGTTCTAGAAATTTCTAGAGGGCGAAATTTCCAGCCCTTATATTTTCAACAGCACGCCCTTTGGGTAAAAACAGAAACCTTCTTCACGAATGGGGGATAGAAGGCTACCACACCATATAACTCCCTTGATCATACCGGGACTCATTTTTGAGTTTTAGCGACACGCACATTGTACACTTACCTTTATAATATATATTGATTGATGATTATAAATAAATTATTATTATTAAAAATCCATATAAAGAATAAAAAATATATAAATTTACAAATATATATACTAGTGTATAAGTAAACTTTTTTAACCTGAAAAATTTTATTCAAAAGTAGGAGTTGACTTATATGATGGATGAAAACCTGTACTAAAAATATTATATAAGTAGAACAGCAATCCTAATAATGAATGTACATCACTTACTACAATTCAACAAATATTTTAAAATAAAATTTATATTTGACAAACTTGTTTAACTTATTTAACATAGGCAATTGATATAACAATAAAAAATCAATATAAATAAACACTATTCCACATGCTGTTCCCAATAGCTGTGCACTAACTGTACATTACTAAACCAAATGGTGGAGCATAAGCAAAGGCATACTGTATCACAGTAATCTACTATCAAATATCTTATGTAATGATTCTATCATGATACTATGCTGTGTAAACTATTAATATTTTATTGGATGTGCTGGTTTTGGCTGGAATATATTTACTGGTAAATCAAATTTACAACAGACTTCTTACCAAAATAACTTATTGAAGAATTTTAATGCTTGTCCTATATACATGCTGTTGTCCACTTTTTTTTTTTGTATGAACTGCATAATACATGCCATATTTTTAAAGCTAATGCAGCATTATAATAAACTCTTACTATAAAGTACTAAATACCATAATCACACCTCATAGTTCTAGACTAATGTATGTTTAAGAATCAATTTATATGAAGGAAGGGTGTAAACCAGAATTCTGAGCTGAAATATTAAGGTCGACTTATACAATAGATTGTTTTGTATGTTGACATATGTGATATCCACAAAATACTTCATAAAATTTAAATTAAGCTTACCTGTTCTGGACGATTTGGTATACAAAATGCCTTTAAAATTGTATGCAGGGCTTTTATTCGAACTTGAGAAAAGTAACGATGGAGTAAACAAGCATTAAGATAAGTTGTTTTTCTTACAAGACGAAAGAATTTAATATAATTATTACTATTAACTGCATTAAAAATAGATATTGCAAATTTTATTTCTTCTGACTCTCTTATATAAGAAGGAAATTGCTGGATTTCTCTGTGAAATAAATAATTAAAATATAACATTTTAGAGCATTATATAAACAAAGTATAAGTTGAAAGTAGAATTTATAAATAATTATTGAAAGAGAGTATAGGTAATTATTAGGATTATAATACTAATCAGATTATAAATTTGAGAAAATTCACTAATAATTCAACTTAACAGATCATATATTTCAGAATATAAGGCAAAGTCCAAATTTCAATCTAAATTTGATGGTTTTAGCTCCTATAAGTTTTATAAGACAAATCAAATTATTAACCATTATGATAAAATTTTAGCCAGTAGGCAGTAATCATCAATATGATGATACTGTATATTAATATAATTATACAGTAAATGTAGAATGACAGATGTAAGTATGCATAGTTAGCAGTCAGTCAGTCAAAGATATCACAATCTGTATGTTATCATTGAGAAGTACAATCTTCTAAAAACTTATTTGCAGTTTCTTTCATCTGTAGTTATTAACAATGTTCATATAGACACAAACCTATGCAATCAACATTCTTAGAATAAAGTTTATACTTGTTCTTTTTACACATTTTATTAGCAAATTGTTAATTATGGAGTGAATCAAGGAACCTGTATTGATATTCTACAGGATTTTAAGATCAGTTTGTATACTTGACCTAAAAGACAACTGGTTTTGGGTGGGTTTTGATAATTCAAGCATATCTTATCTGCCAAAATAAATTTAGAAATATTTCTCATTTTATTATTTAACTAAGTAAACATACATTCTTTCCTTAATTAGTGATTTTTTTCTTGACTTAAGTATTTGGATTGAATTTTACTTAATGTCAAAAATATGACATTAATACCAAATAAATTGTCAGAATGGTCTAACTATAAGTTGACTTCCAATTGAAATCCTTACATTTTGAAAAAAATTAGAACCTGAATATGTCAACAAAGTTATAAAAAATTATTGAACAAAATTGTATCATTTTCATCAGAACTTTGTGACCATTCCTGTTTCCCACTTCATTTTCTATCATGCTCTTCTGCTTCAAGAAATGTTGTGTTATAACAATTTGAACAGAAGTCCTTTATAATTGTGTCTTTGTCTGGCTTAATCTATAATAGCAGTCAGTTGACTGAAGGCTTCTGTTTTTTACAAATGGTATCTATCAGTTTACGTTGTTCTTTCAAAAGTCATTCTATGTGTTGTGTATACACCTTGTATTTAAAGGACTTACAGATTAAAATATTGGGTACCTGTAACTGGAATGTCATGCCTTCAGTATATATCAATTAAATCAGTGTACAGTACATTGCTTGTTTCCTTTTCATTCTGAGATGTGTTCCTGAAAAACATCCAGTAAAAGCATAGCTCTAGTCTTTCATCCAGATATATTTTTGAATAGTTCCAGGTGTATTATGCATGGAAATACACTTGAATCAAATAGTCCAGTACTAGATGATCAGTCATCCATGATGTAGGGGTATAATGAAAACCTGAACTAAAAATATTATATAAGTAGAACAGCAATCCTAACAATAAATGTACGTCACTTACTACAATTCAACAAATATTTTAAAATAAAATTTATATTTGACGAACTTGTTTAACTTATTTAACATAGGCAATTGATATAACAATAAAAAAATCAATATAAATAAACACTACTCCACATGCTGTTCCCAATAGCTGTGCACTAACTGTACATTACTAAACCAAATGGTGGAGCATAAGCAAAGGCATACTGCACAGTAATCTACTATCAAATATCTTATGTAATGATTCTATCATGATACTATGCTGTGTAAACTATTAATATTTTATTGGATGTGCTGGTTTTGGCTGGAATATATTTACTGGTAAATCAAATTTACAACAGACTTCTTACCAAAATAACTTATTGAAGAATTTTAATGCTTGTCCTATATACATGCTGTTGTCCACTTTTTTTTTTTGTATGAACTGCATAATACATGCCATATTTTTAAAGCTAATGCAGCATTATAATAAACTCTTACTATAAAGTACTAAATACCATAATCACACCTCATAGTTCTAGACTAATGTATGTTTAAGAATCAATTTATATGAAGGAAGGGTGTAAACCAGAATTCTGAGCTGAAATATTAAGGTCGACTTATACAATAGATTGTTTTGTATGTTGACATATGTGATATCCACAAAATACTTCATAAAATTTAAATTAAGCTTACCTGTTCTGGACGATTTGGTATACAAAATGCCTTTAAAATTGTATGCAGGGCTTTTATTCGAACTTGAGAAAAGTAACGATGGAGTAAACAAGCATTAAGATAAGTTGTTTTTCTTACAAGACGAAAGAATTTAATATAATTATTACTATTAACTGCATTAAAAATAGATATTGCAAATTTTATTTCTTCTGACTCTCTTATATAAGAAGGAAATTGCTGGATTTCTCTGTGAAATAAATAATTAAAATATAACATTTTAGAGCATTATATAAACAAAGTATAAGTTGAAAGTAGAATTTATAAATAATTATTGAAAGAGAGTATAGGTAATTATTAGGATTATAATACTAAATACTAATCAGATTATAAATTTGAGAAAATTCACTAATAATTCAACTTAACAGATCATATATTTCAGAATATAAGGCAAAGTCCAAATTTCAATCTAAATTTGATGGTTTTAGCTCCTATAAGTTTTATAAGACAAATCAAATTATTAACCATTATGATAAAATTTTAGCCAGTAGGCAGTAATCATCAATATGATGATACTGTATATTAATATAATTATACAGTAAATGTAGAATGACAGATGTAAGTATGCATAGTTAGCAGTCAGTCAGTCAAAGATATCACAATCTGTATGTTATCATTGAGAAGTACAATCTTCTAAAAACTTATTTGCAGTTTCTTTCATCTGTAGTTATTAACAATGTTCATATAGACACAAACCTATGCAATCAACATTCTTAGAATAAAGTTTATACTTGTTCTTTTTACACATTTTATTAGCAAATTGTTAATTATGGAGTGAATCAAGGAACCTGTATTGATATTCTACAGGATTTTAAGATCAGTTTGTATACTTGACCTAAAAGACAACTGGTTTTGGGTGGGTTTTGATAATTCAAGCATATCTTATCTGCCAAAATAAATTTAGAAATATTTCTCATTTTATTATTTAACTAAGTAAACATACATTCTTTCCTTAATTAGTGATTTTTTTCTTGACTTAAGTATTTGGATTGAATTTTACTTAATGTCAAAAATATGACATTAATACCAAATAAATTGTCAGAATGGTCTAACTATAAGTTGACTTCCAATTGAAATCCTTACATTTTGAAAAAAATTAGAACCTGAATATGTCAACAAAGTTATAAAAAATTATTGAACAAAATTGTATCATTTTCATCAGAACTTTGTGACCATTCCTGTTTCCCACTTCATTTTCTATCATGCTCTTCTGCTTCAAGAAATGTTGTGTTATAACAATTTGAACAGAAGTCCTTTATAATTGTGTCTTTGTCTGGCTTAATCTACAACAGCAGTCTGAAGGCTGACTGAAGGCTGACTGTCAGGCAGTCTGACTGATGGCTTGTTTTTTACAAATGGTATCTATCAGTTTACGTTGTTCTTTCAAAAGTCATTCTATGTGTTGTGTATACACCTTGTATTTAAAGGACTTACAGATTAAAATATTGGGTACCTGTAACTGGAATGTCATGCCTTCAGTATATATCAATTAAATCAGTGTACAGTACATTGCTTGTTTCCTTTTCATTCTGAGATGTGTTCCTGAAAAACATCCAGTAAAAGCATAGCTCTAGTCTTTCATCCAGATATATTTTTGAATAGTTCCAGGTGTATTATGCATGGAAATACACTTGAATCAAATAGTCCAGTACTAGATGATCAGTCATCCATGATGTAGGGGTATAACAAACAACCACTGCTGTTAGATCCTTGTGCAATGTTTTGTATTTCAATATCACAGAAGAGACTTTTCTTCTGTCTCCTATGACTGTTAGCATGACAGTTACTTTCAGCTTTTCATTTCTTGTTGTCCTCAGGAACAGATTTGGCACCTCTTTCTTCTACTGTTAGATTTACAGACATATAAAATAAATAGGTTCCTAACAGGTAATTGCATTATCATCTTAGATTAATATGGTGCTGGTATGCAATCAGTTAGTCTGTACAATCATTTGAGTCTTTGTCAAAAATTGTTCTCTTTACCTCAGGACCATATTGCTCCATAAGTCTTTTTCACCACCCTATACTGGCTTTAAATTATATTCTACCAAAAATATAGAAGAAATCTCACAATTAACCTGGATATAATCAAAGTTCTGGTAGTGTTCAATGCTTTCAGATGGATATCTTGACATTGAAAGCTTTGTAAATGCTTTTTCTGAACATAGTGCACAACCTCTTCAAGTTCCTTGTGTCTTCCATCATTCAAGCCTTAAAAGCTATCTTTTTGTTGAAATGGCATTCTTTAGCTTAAGTTTCATCTTCTGCCAGTTAAGTTGTTTCAGTTACATTCTTCTCATTGACAATGAATCATATGGATGAAGTAAAATTGTTTGTTGTGCACAGTTCAAGACCATCTTCTTGATATTGAATGTCAGAACATTGTCAACACTATTTCTTTATTATATTTTCATACTGTGTGTTTCAACAGATGATGACTACTTCACAATCTCCATTTTCATATGATCAAACAAGTTGAAAACTTACATGACTAAACTTAGTATTCATGCATCAAATTTTTCTGCCAAACAGACAATGCTGATGTTTCATCAATCTCAATTTCCATCTATTGTGCAAGCACCAATGAATCAAGTGGAAATTTCTGAATGCACTTTACCAAAAATATAGCAGAAATCTTATTTCCATAGCAAAAAGGATAGGAAGGTTTGTCTGAAGAACAAAAAGTTTTCAAATTAAAAGTGATTTGAGACACATTTAAAAACTTTTACATTTTAATAGCATTCTATACAAGTGTTGATTTAGCCTGTATGTTATTTATTAATACAGTAATTACTATAACTATTAAACAATAACGAGTATTAAAGTATGTGTTATCAGTTGTATGTCCAGGCTTTTGAAATTTTCTTTCTTATAAGTCTAGGGTGAAATGTCAACATTTTAAAATTGCAATATTTTTTTAATGTTTCTTGCTACAATTAATCAACTTTTTAAATAGAAAATAAATTGTAGTTTAGGATTATTACATTCTCTTATGTACAATAAAATTAAAATATTTTTTACTTTAAAGAATAAGAGAAAATCATGTTTTTAAAAGTAATATATGTAAGATAAATTTAAGCTACAATTTAATATTTTAATCATCATCAACTGATTTTTGAAAAATTTTTTATTTTATTCCAAAAATTCTTTTATCTGTAAAAGTTACAAAAACTGACTCATTCTCTTAAATAGAATAAAAGGATCAGCTTATTCAATTGTCTTTGAAAAATTTATAAATTAATTAATTATTTACAATGAATTGTGCCAAACATTTAATTCCCACACACATTTTTAGGTCACATCTTGGCTAGTGATTAGTTTTGGTAAACAACTGACACACCAATTTAATTCTGTACAATGTGTTCCAAAGACAGTTATCAAAACTGACAAAATTTTCAAACTTAAATATAGGTTGATGCAATTTTTGGCAGCTTTAAAACTAAAAAAATCCACTAATATTGGGCCAATATGGTATTATTCTGTGAGGTCTCAGAATCAGTATTTTGTGAGCTTATACCTCTTACCTTAGAAAAAAGAGTGTACTATCTTTCTTTCTGGATGGTGCAAGAGAGAAAAAACCATATCTGAGGTGGAGATGGACACTGAACATGATTCTGTTTGTACAGAAGAACTATCTATTATAGAAGACAGCATACAAATTCATTTTGCAGGATCTTCTTCTGGATTGAGCTTAGTTGATAGTTCAGTAATACAGAAATGTTCTTTCAAAAAGTCCAAGGTTGCCAAGGACTGTCTTTGTCCAGTGGCAACCTTGATCAACAGCAAGTGGTTTGATTGAAGAAAGAACACTATGAAAAACTAAGTTTCCTTTTGGAGAGAGGCTGAAATTTCCTAGAAAAATGATGAAAAAAGGAATCTGGGCAAATTAACATTGCTTTTATGGACTGAATACAAATCTTGGAAAAAGAATAATGGATCTTATAGTAGGAAATAAACAGATCTTTCCTTAAAAGAACTTTGTAGGAAAGTCTTGAATCTTAGCAAAAATACCCCATGAGACATAACCTTTTATCATATTCTGTTCCTGATTGCCCATTCTGATTAGTCTCAAGGTCCTGTCCACACTTTCTGATTGGTATCATATCTGTTCCCAAACATAAATCAAAACCAACTCAGATTGCAGGAGAGTCAATGTCAATGTTTAATCTAATGCTGAATTCAAATTCCAACTGGTAATGGTTAATCTTAGGACTCATTTTGTTTATTCATTCATTCATTCATAACATAAAACTTTTACTGACTATAATTTCTTTTAAATATTTTCTTTCTATTCAAAACATTTCTTAAAACAATTTTTTTTAGATGAGTTTGGAGCTGTCCACAGTATAACAATTTATAGTGTTCTCAGAGATAAAAAAAAACTTTAATATCCAACATAAATAAATCACAAACAGATGCTTTCAACTTCTTCAGTTACCAACTTTTAAAAACAGAAAATTCTACAATAAGAAGGTTAACATTATAAAACATAAAAAACACATTTAAACTAAAGAGCATGTAAAATTTAAAATTAAGCATAAATTAATGTAAAAAAAATTACTATTTAACATAATATTTCTCAGTCATATTTACATTTTTGTGAAATATTTTTGAATAAAATATTTATAATATAAATGAAATTATTTAAGAGAAATGTTTACCTAAGTATATCACTTTCATTTATATTTAGAAGAACATCATAGGCTCGAAATTCAGACTCTTGCGGACACTGTATGTTCTGAATGTTAAGATCGTGATAAAGATGTTTAAGAGTCTGAAGACATTTTGTAAGATTTTCGTTATTGATTTTGGCATCAAATGTAGCCATATCTTCTTCACACAATACTGCTGAGCAATGTATATGAAAGCGAGCACATTTTTCTACTAGGGAAACACTTTTCAAACCACACAAATGTTGTTGTGTAATATCCTAAACAAAACAAATAATTACAATTTTTTAAAATAAATTAACAAAAGATATAACTATTATATAAAATGTAAAATAGCTTACTTTACGAATAGCACGAGTACGATTCCAAATGAAATCATACCATTCTCCTATAGAAAATCCAGGTGATTGATCATTATTCACTAAATCTACAATATTACACAAGAGATAATCCATTGTTTTGATCAAGACATCAGGTGGTCTTAATTCATGTGGTAAGGGCTCTTCCTGATCAGCAGAAGAACGACTATATTCCTTAATGACAGCTCTGTGATCTATTAACTAAAAATTAAATATAAAGAAAAAACAGATTACAGCACTTTTATATTAAGTATTTTATTTATGTGAATCTGTGTACACATAATACATATAAATAAATATACATAATATTTATTTTAAAAATTAAAAGAATAAGCAAATGTATATACATACGTATATAAAAACACATTTTATATTTTTTATTGCACAATATGATTTTGTGATAACTTAAAAATGTATATTTCTTGTCAGTTATTTTAAATTTATTATTACTCAAATCATTACTAAAAATAAGACAATATTACAGATGCTTACCTTATCTGCACTTGTTTCAAAAATTGAAAGACAATTTTTTTCTGCACGATTATATCTTTCTTTCTCAGGGCACATATCTGGACATACACCTACAATAGCTTTGGCCTTCCTTATATCTGATGTTTTTTGTTGACCTAAATAAGTACTAATATTTTAATATGAATAGATATTATGACTAATTTAATTAATTTCAGTACATTTAAAGTAATCATATTAAAAAATTAATATATGTAGGTATTTACTCACGTAATCGAAGCAATTTATCTCGAGCTTTTAAAATGCGATAACGTTCTCCTATTGTTGTAGCTGTTGATGTCATTAAGGTCCACAACATTTCTTCTATTTAAAAAATAAATTAATTATTTAAAATATTATCAATTTTTAATCATTGTAATTTAACAATTATAATAAAGCACTATTGTAATTAAAATTATCAGAGTATATTGTAATAAAATATTAAATTGTATTACATATATTAAAAATACAGATTACCACAAAATAATTTACAGAATATGATGATTAAAGCTAAATGAAAACTGTAATAGCATCAAACTTACACTTTTAAATTTAGCTAATCACACTACTTTTTAAAATCTATATATATAATTGAGACGAGTTGATAATAATGATAATAATAATCAGCACAGAGCCCAAATGGTTAAAAGCTGAAAGTTGAAATTTGGTACACAAGTTAGGGTACGTCACGAGAACACACACTAAGAACAGATTTTTCGAAATACCTCCTCATGGGGAGAGGGACAGGATTAAGGCTTAACACTTCCATCAACAATGGAAGTGTTACGTAACAATGGAATTGTTAAGAGAAAGCAATGTGCAAGACGCAGATGCAGTTTTTTCATTTTTGCAGAAAATCAAACATATTTTTAGACCCATCTAAAAATTCTTTAATTAGTCCGGAAACAGGGGGATCCAATTCTTGCATTCTGTGAAAATGGGTAAGGTTGACTATAACGTAATAATCTTAATCTTCACTATCGTTAAAGAACTAGCAGGTAGGCTCGGCATTGCTAGGACCTACCTGCTAGTTCTTTAATATATAAACAAAAATAAATTCATTAAGAATTACATCATAGTGAAATTAAAGACAAAAATGTATCCAAGCTTGGTTCTTATCATATAGATTATTATAATTCGTCTGAAAAGTTTGTCCATAGTCTAATAAGCATTGTTTGTTTCCTTAACATTTCTGAAGGTAGTTTTATGTAGACAGCAATTTGTGAGAATCAAGAAGATAATTATGATAATTGCTATTAATTTATCACTCTTGTTATCCAAAACATATCAAAACTTTTAGTATCATTTGTGAAGTAATAAGATCTGTTAAGCTACATAATTCTTGCTTATGTCAAAACTAATTGAATATAACTGTAATGACAGGTTATTGTTCACAGAGAAAAATTGATCTCAATAGTTGCTCAATGGTACTTGTGTTCAAATTGTCATAGAATCATAGCTATTATTATTAGATCAGAAACCAGATGAAAATAAAAAGTTAACATAATATTCCAATAGGAACCTTCTTTGACAAAAAAATTTGCCAGAATATAAAGACAAGACTGAAGAGAAAAGTATGTAATTACACCAAAACTGCCTGAAACAAGTAATAAAATTATCATCATCAATTTATGGATGGAAGTAACAAAAATACTGAAATGCAATATTGATTAAATTGATTTTCTCTCTATTTTAAAATATAAATAAAATTAATTATTTTACACTCTTATGTATCTATCATCAAATGAATAATAATAAATAGAAAAATGTTTTGTTTTCTGAATAATACTAAGTAGGATGAATCCATCATCATCTTTGTTTTGATTTGTTGCCATTTATATACTTGTAAGCACCATGTTGGCCTCTATTCCTAGACTTATTACACCATCCCTGGACACTAGATCAACCTTAGAAAATCAGTTTATTTTCTAAGACTGATCTTGTGTCCAGTGATGGTGTAATAAGTCTAGGAATAAAGAGGCCAATATAGTGCTCACAAGTTATTACCAAGGCTAGACAAGATGCATATTATAGTATTTGTTGCCATTTTTAAATATATGTTTCTGTTACTACTTGTTATGAAAGTTAAATCCTGTTAATCATAATTGAAAATATTTTTGACCTTCTTTAGATCAGCTTTCAGCTAATAACAATTGTAAATTTCTAGAACAGCTCTAGAATATTCCAATTATAAAGATTAACAGGATTTGTCTTTTATAATAAGCAATTATTTATTGTGATGTCACAATTAGGATGCAATTTTTAATCATATTTTTAATTTAAAATATATGCTCTCCACTCAAATTAGCACTGTAGTGTCTTTCCCAGTACATCATACTTTTCCTTTAACAATAGAGTCATGCCAGTCATCTATTAACTGCTTTCGGGGAAAAAGTTTTGAATTGAAATAATGTGCCTACAGGTTTGTATTGGAAGAATTTATATAATTAATTGGAGCCTCCTGCCCCTAAGATTTCCATACCTGGTCTCAGATTTCATCTAACTCCATTCTCGAGATTAAGGAAAGATGGATGGACAATAGTGGAAATTCATAGGTCTGCAATTTTCTTCAAATTGCAGTCTAACAAGCAGTAACAGAAATTCTTATGAGTAAGTGCAAAATTGCTTGAGAGAACAAATCACACAGGAACACAACTAAGATGGTACAGGCTTTTATTGATTCTTCATTCCTTCATTAGTCCTCTTTTAAATTCTACAGTAATCTGGTTACAATTTAAATTTGGTTAAAACAGTATAAAATTTAAGTTAATTAAATTTAAATTGTAACCAGATTACTATAGAATTTAAGAGAGAACTGATGAGGGATATCATGTCTGAAATGCACATCCTCAAGAACCAATAAAAGCCTGTTTCCATCTTACGAGGAGACAGCATGATGTTAAGGTCACCGATTTTGATCAAACTCAGGTTATAGTACATCCCCAATGACTGACATGTGCCAAGCGGTAAGGTGCAACATTCAAAATTAAATGAAAAATCAAAGTTGAAAATTGCAAATCATTTAAAACCTTTAGAATGCCCATCATTTGTAGAACAGACAGTTGCAAAACACTGGTTTCATTAGCATGAGGTTGGTGTTTTGAATTTTGGTGGTATCAATTTTTTCCCCCTAAAACTATAATTTTCACTTTATTCTTGGTATTTTTAAATATTCATGTATATATGGGATTCATACTAACATTTATTTATAATTTATTTTGGAAGAGAATTAAATATAAATAAAATTATTATTATTGTTGTGTTTTGTGAGTTATACTCGGTTCACACCATTGGCTGTGTACTATGCCGGACCAGAGTCAAGGCATAGCAACCAAAACAAAACTAAAATTAAATAAGTGTGTCAGTGTGTGTGTCTGTATTCAGGAATTTCCTAACAATGTGGTATGTATTCAATATAGTGGCCTTCTGTAGTGTGATGTATGTATTTCTACTCAATTGTAATGTTCCCAGGCTTTTGTGTAGTGTGTGTGGTATCACACCTGTACAGGAGAGAACGACAGGTACAATAAGCACCCTATCCATCCTCCACAGATGCCTTATTTCCTGGGCGAGTTCTGTGTACTTGCTAATTTTTTCAGTGCATGTGTTTTGTACATTGTGAGTGTTTGGAATGGCTATGTCTATAATGTATGTGATTTTATTGTGTTTGTCAATGAGTGTGATGTCTGGTCTGTTGTGGTAAATTGTTTTATCTGTGATTATGGCTCTGTCGTAATACATTTTGTGCGTGTTATTTTCCAATACTGTCTGTGGAATATACTTGTAGTATGGTTCGTGGATGTCTGCCAATTTGTGTTTCTTTGCAAGCTCTTGGTGTATTATATTTGCTACTTGATTGTGTCTATGTAAGTAATCTGTCTGTGCCAAGAGCTTGCAACCAGAAGTGATGTGTTGTATAGTTTCTGGCATGATGTGACATTTTCTGCATGTGTCATTTGTGAGTGTTGTATCTTTGAGTATGTGTTTTCTGTAGTTTTTAGTATTTATGACCTGATCCTGTATGGCAATCATGAATCCTTCCGTCTCCCCAAAGAGGCATCCCCGATCTAACCAGCTGTTTGACGCAGTTTTGTCAACAAAATCCTGGGCCAGGTCATAAGGATGCCTGCCATGGAGTGCCTTTCGAGCCCACGATTGCTTGATGGTGTCTATGCTTTTTATGTGTTGTGTCATGTCTGTATGATGTGAGTGTAAGTTTAATGGTGTGCTATTTGAGTCTGCTAGAGTTACTGCTTTATTTAATTGTGATGTTTCTTGTTTACTGTAGAAAAACTCTCGCAGTGACTGTATTTGTTTGTAGTGAAGGTTAACTATGTCAATCAGGCCATGTCTGCCATCTTTACGTGGAAGGGTTAATCTTTCTGTGGCGGATTTAGGATGATGTTGTTTATGCTTAGTAAGTGTTGTTCTTGTTTTCCTTTGGAGTTGCTCAAGATCTGTGTGAGTCAAATGTATAACTCCAAAAGAGTATGTGAGTACTGGGATGACATATGTGTTTATTGCTTTGACTGTGTGTTTTGCATTTAGCTGTGTTTTGAGAATGGCATTTAACCTACTTTGGTATTCTTTAATTAATATTTGCTTTATTTGTGTATGTTCTGTTAGTTAGGCCTGTTGGAATCCTAAATACTTGTAGAACGTGCCCTCTTCCATGGATTCAATAAAGTCCCCATTTCCAAGTGCAAAATCTTCTTTCTTCAGGATTCCTTTTTCTATGTGAAGTGTTTTGCATTTGCCAAACTCCACTTGTATGTCGTTAGTGTATGAGTGTGTGATTTGTAGGAGTTGATGAAGTTGTTTCTGTGTGAATGCATAAAGTTTTATGTCATCCATGTACATAGATATGAGAGCGTAAACCGTGTTGTTTTTTCATATCTGATATTGTAGCCATATTGCGTGTTGTTTAACATGTTGGATAACGGGTTCATAGCTAGGCAGAACCAGAGAGGACTCAGAGCCTCCTTGAAAAATTCCTCACGTAATGAATATTTGGTTTGTTTGTATGGAAGTGTTACTAACCCTGAGATGCAGTGTTGTTCTCCAGTGCTGTATAGTGTTTTCGAAGAATGCAATGAGTGATGGATGTATTTTGTACATGTGTAGACTATGTAGCAGCCAACTGTGTGAAACACTGTCAAATGCTTTTCTGTAGTCTATATATGCCATGTGTATGTTTCTGTGTTGTTTGTGTGCTTGTCGTAGAACGACTGAATCTATGAGTAACTGTTCTTTGCATCCACTGTGATTTCTACGGCAACCTTTTTGTTATGCCGTAAGAATGTCGTGTTCTTCAACATGTTTGTATATTTTGTTTGTGATACAGGATCTCAATAATTTGTATAGTGTTGGAAGACATGTAATTGGTCTGTATTGTGTGGGATCTGCAGTGTTGTTGTTTTTAGGTTTCATGTACGTGATGCCCTGAGTAAGAAATTTTGGCATGTCTTGTGGATTGATGATGATGTGTGTTAGATGTTTAGCTAGTTCCTGGTGCAGTGATGTAAACTTTTTGTACCAGAAATTGTGAATGTTGTCTACACCAGGTGTCTTCCAGTTGTGTGTTCTGTTAACAGCGTAGCGAATGTCGTGTACGTTTATTTCAGCACAGGGCATAGTTGGTATGTTGTGCAAGTTTCTGTTCTCCTCCTCGATCCAGCCTGCATCAGCATTGTGTGTAACAGCATTGGACCAAAGAGAAGACCAATAAGTTGTGAGTTCTTCTTCTGTTGGTGTGCCACTGTGCTGTGTATCAGTGTTTGTTTTGGTACTGATTTGTCTGTAGAAAAGTTTTTCATTGTTTGTGAATAATTTATTTTGTTGTTTTCGTAGTGTACATGTTTTGTATCGTTTGAGTCTACGTGCTTTGGCTGCGAGTTTTTGTTTTAGTGTATCGATGTATTCTGTAATGTGTGTGTTGTGATGTTCATGTTTTGTGTGTGTTTTGATTTTCTTGAAAATGTTTTTGAGTTGTTTCTTTAATTTGGGTGTTATGTTGTTTTTAGTGTATTGTGTCAGCCTGCCTAATTGCTGTCTAATGTCATTTATTTGTGTTTCTATTCTTCTCTGCCAGGCAGGCTTGTGATAGAATTGTGTTTTGTGTGTGTCTGTCTGTGAGTGTATTTTCAGTCCATGGTGTGTTACTACTGTGACTGCCCCAGCATAAACTAATGTATGAATGTCTGAGAGTGTAGAAATTGAATGAATGTAGTTTGGTAGTAAGTGAGTGTTTACATAATCTAGTGTTTTTCCTACTGCCTTTGACGTGTTGATTTTTGGTATTCGTGGTCTTTGTGTGGGATCTGTACCTGTATATTTAGTGAGTGTTTCCTGAAATATAAGTAAGAGTGTATTAACTAAATCTATATCTATGTTATCAGTGATGGATGAGGAAGTGTCTGTAGTATCATTAGTAGTAGTTGTTGTATGTGTGCTATTATCAATGCTTGTTGCTGGATTACCCTGACAGGTTACATGATCTTCATTAATGTTAAATGTTTCTGTCTGTTGATGTATTTGGTCAGCAACCTGTTGTTTGATAAGTTCAAGTGTTGTTTGTGGGATAAGGTTGTTGTGTACAATTGTTCTTTTTTGATTGACAACCCTTTGTTCGGTGACAGTGAGGTAGGTAAGGATATTGTTGTGTAAATCTATGGTGTAGTTGTTGTCTGTATGCTGGCATGTTTGTTTCAAATCTTGTGATGGTGTAGTAAGTATTATTATTATTTAACATTATTCAATCTGTTTACTTTTAGGGAGTACAATTTTGTAAATGATAACAGTTGCAGAAGCATGTGAAACAATAAACATTTCTATAATGTGCACATTAAATAAATACAGATTTTTACAATAAGAAGATTTATATATGTCACTAGAAAAACAAAATTGATTAATGTTTAAAAACACTTCTCCATTATTTACTAATTTGGAGGAGAATCATTTGTACTATATCACATTTGAAAATATCAGAAAGCTTTTTTTTTTTTCCTACCAGCTTTGCAACTTCTGAAATTGATGAAAAACCCTTGGCTGCAATTAGGTCTTGATTTTGAAGGATGCTTTCTCAATATGTAAATTTTGTAATATTGTCTTGCAGTGATTATTCTGCAGAACACATTTCTATGCTATTGATGTTAGTATGGAATATCAAAACCATCTTTTCATTCTTTAGGGAATGAAGATGCAATTATAGACACATTTAGGTTAAACAATGAGTATGTTGTCAGAGTAACTACAAACTGTACATGAATATACAGAGAATGTTTTCAGAGAAAAACAAAAACATTGCTTTTAAATAAATATTATTAGATAACATTTATTAATTACTTTTGAGATGGATTTATTGTGTTATTACCCTGTGCATTTGTAGTTTTCTAAAACTAAGTCAGTTTTTCTCTCTGATAGTATAATAAATTTAAAAGTACCAAGAATAATGTGAAAATTATAGTTTTAGAGAAAAAAAAATTGATACCACCAAAATTCAAAATACCAACCTCACACTTATGAAACCAGTGCAACCCCACCAAACCATTGGCCACTCTACAAATGATGGAAATTCTAAATATTTTAAGTAATTTGCAATTTTTAACCTTAATTTTCTCATTTAATTTTGAGTATTGCATTTATTGCTTGATACATGTCAGTCATTAGGGATGCACTATAACTTCACTGAATTTGATCAAAATCAGTGACCCCAACATCATGACATTTCATTGTTCCTGTGCAATTCATTCTCTCAAGCAATTTTGTGCTTATTCTATTCATAAGAATTACAATGAGAGCAAAAAGCAATCCAGTATATAATAATAAACTTTATTGTGGCTATATCTGTAGCAGCATTTTACTACTGCTTTTCTCAAAAACACAACTTACAATTTATCTCACATTGAAAACTTTGTTGCAAGCTATGTGAAACATCTTAAAAAATTTATTCATTGCTAAATGAAATATTCAACAATAACCTCATTGATATAAACAAATTATAATTAATGAGAAAATTAAATATTTTAATGCACTATGTTTTACACAATAAAAGATAGAAAGAAAACTTTCAAATAGAAAAAAATGTTTCAAATAAACAAACTTAAAAATCAAAATCTAAATATATCAGTTATAACACTAATAAAAGCATCATAATTATAATAAGCATCACTTGTCAGATTTATAGCTTTTAAATAGTAAATAGTCTTCAAAACATTTTTGAAGATATGAATGATGTTGAGTAATGATATCAAACTTTTAAAATTCATATGAATAAAATTTACAAGTTAAAAAAAATATATATTTCCTACAGCTCTTATAAAATGAATACTTCTCCAGGAAACTACATTGAACGTTTTTAAAAAATTTTTTCTTCTAATTTATGGTCTTTTATAAACTTAAATTTTCTGACAGTTAATTTCAAGTTATTAATTTAACAATTCAATTATGGAAAAAGAAATAAACAAAAACAATAAAGCTTTTTAAACTTTTGAGTAAAATATATCATGTTATCAGCTTTTAATGAAGATTCACAACATAAACACGTGTAAATAATATTTTCACTAAACTAAAATATTTATTGCCATAAGCAAATATATACCTGATGTCTCTATCTGTGGTTTTATATTTCCAGATTTTTCTATATTTGTAAGATTTTTTCTAGTTTGTTTCTGAATAATAAATTCAGGTTTCTTCTGAGAATCCATGTCTTCTGGACGTTGCAATACTTTGTGATCTTCAATTCCTTCCATCATTGAGTGTAATTCTTCTGTTACTTCAGAATTAGAATTTTTTCTTCCTATATTTTTTTTTTTCAAACAAGAAAACTGGCTTATCCTTGTNATGTCTCTATCTGTGGTTTTATATTTCCAGATTTTTCTATATTTGTAAGATTTTTTCTAGTTTGTTTCTGAATAATAAATTCAGGTTTCTTCTGAGAATCCATGTCTTCTGGACGTTGCAATACTTTGTGATCTTCAATTCCTTCCATCATTGAGTGTAATTCTTCTGTTACTTCAGAATTAGAATCCATTCTTCCTATATTTTTTTTTTAATAAAATAAATATGTATGTTTATATAAATTATAGCTGTTTTATAACATTTATTAGAAATAGTTTTATTTTCTTAAAATAGCTTTTATACTTTCTTTAAAAATTTTATTTCTAAAGACTATATTTAGAGAATTTGCTATTTTCTCTGCTAATTTACCAAGTCAATTCCAGGTAATTTTATACAAGATAAAATATATTAAAAATTTCATATGGAATTTGCTGAAAATAAACTATTTAGTACTTAATTCTAAAGCAATTATTAAAGGATAAATTTACCAATAAACACTCAAAAAAATTCATTTAATAATTATTATTGAAGTTTATGCTTAAATGAATTTAAATAAATTGCACTTATTGTTAATACAGGATAGATCAAAAGTGAGTTAACCAAGATATATTTTAAAAATTATTTTAAGAATAATTAAGACTGTTTAACTGAGCTATTAACTGAACAGAAACTGGCAGAAATTTACATGAACTTGTTATTGTTTTAAAACCTCCTTCTATTGTATTTTAACATCACCATCTAATGGCCAAATATGCACACCACAAATCATGAACAATCAAATCTCAGGTTATGAATGCCCCCTATGGTGTTCAAACAAAATTTTGAACACCATATTTACTCTGGTTTACATACAATAACTCGGTTTCCAAACAAGCTACTCAGCAGAGCTGGCCACCAATAGTCAACTTTCTATACTTCCTATGTTAAAGAAAGTTGACGGTCTGACTAATCAACAATAGGACTACCGATTCAGTAGCGGCTCCAAGATTCTCCTCATGTCATTAGACGTCACAACACAAATCATCAATGACATTGTTATTCAAATTAGATTTCAATGCATATATGGGTAAGATATTACTTACAGTTTTCAGTAATAAAGTTAATTGCATTCTATTAATTTAACAAGTCAATTATGGAAAGAGAAATAAACAAAAACAATAAAGCTTTTTAAACTTTTAAGTAAAATATAGGAGTGAAAGTGCTTTCTCACCATACACATCCTTCAACATGCATTGAATTTTAATGGAGTTACACCTTTTTTTCCATAAGAAATAAGTTACTGCATAAACTTCCAATTTGGATGATAAATATTTGGATGGTGCAACATCTTTCACAACTGAAAACAGATTAACTCTGCATCCATGTCAACAAATATGTTACACCTTGTAGCCAGAAGTATTACCAGTGTTGCCACCAGATTTCATCTAAATACAGTAATACCCTGAACTTATGCGATAGGTGGGACCGAGCGATAACCGCACAAGTCGGGGTATAATTTCGCAATTTGTGTAAAATCCAAGTTGGTTGTATATAAGCTAATAAATGTTCTCATTAATCTTATCTCGTCTTTTGATTCGTTCACGGTTACAAGAAATCACCACAGAGAGTCTCTCAAGTCTCTGTAGATATAACAAACACAGAAATAAATAACACAAAATAAATTGTAGCTATATGTTGATTCCACTTGACACATCCGAACACGTAAGCTGAACAATAATGTGGGAGGAGTGAGTAATTAAGAGTTGCGTGGCGCTCAAACAAAAGACGAATCAACGAGATTTGAAAATTGCATAACTCCAGGTTTGCATATGTCAGGGTAGTGTAAGTCGAGGTATTACTGTACTGTTTAGTGTGGATGGACTTAGTTGGGCACATCAAACATCTACTACGAAGCTACAAGTTTGTCTTCGGCCTCAGCCTAGATCTGAGGAATGCATTCAATTCGGCCTGGTGGCCGCAAATTTTACGCAGATTAGGTGAGTGCAACTGTCCGGCTAACTTATTCCATCTTGCTGCTAATTACTTTGAGGATAGAGAAGCAATTATCTCTCTGGGGCATCTCCAATTTACACATAAGCTACAATGTGGCTGTCCACAGGGGTCTGTTTGTGGGCCCCTGTTCTGGGATATTTTATTTGATAACTTCTTCCGTACTGACTTCAGCTACCAATGTCGTGTCTATGCATATGCAGACGATGCCTTTGTGGTTTTCCCTGCCCCATCAAGAAACTACATAGAAAGGGCAGCCACTGACATTCTTAAAAAAGTGTATAACTGGGGTGTGAGAAATAAACTCAGTTTTAACATGACAAAGACTAAGAGAATCGTTTTCTCCTCTCCGGGCGCCCCTGACCTTTACAGACGTGTGCCTTGTATCAGGTTTCGTAATGAGTCAATAAAAGTTGTAAGTCATCTCACTTTCCTTGGGGTTGTGATTGATCATAAACTCTCCTGGAAACAGAATATAAAACACATTACTAGCCGAAGTAACTTGACTTTTAATGGACTTTTAAGGGTTGCCAGATGCAAGTGGGGCCTCAGTTTTGAGACAGCCAATGCCATATATGATTGCCTGTTTTTACCAACTATCTCATATGCATCTGCTGTTTGGAGCACTTCTGCCTCTCAATCTCATAACCATTGGCGTCTGAGGTCTGCACAGCGGATTGCCTTATTACGACTTACCAGGTGCTATTCCACTGTTTCAAATGCAACCCTCCCTGAGGTGCCTGGAAAGCTCCCCATCCTCCAATTTCTCCAATTTAATAGCAAACGTTTCTGTATCTCTAGAGGCAGGGATGTTGATATTAATGGAACCATCTTTAATGCCACCATGATTGAATTAGACAGGCCTGTATCTACACTCCCACATCCTGCCTTAAGGAAGGGACTCTCTCCTCGTGTTACTTCTACAGAGATTGAAGTTTTTACAGATGGATCCAAGTCAACGGATGGCATGGCAAGTGCCTTTGTAATCTTTCAGGCCGGTGAGGAGGTATACAATGATTCCTTTGCTCTACACCCGGAGTGCTCTGTCTTCCAAGCTGAGATCTTCGCTGTATTGATGGCAATCAACTCTAATGTTGTGAACAAACTGATAAACATCTTCACAGACAGTGCTGCGACTGTTGCTGTTTTGGGGAATAAGGATAATACTCACCCTGTTGCGAACGACATCTTCGCTGCAGCTTCTACGTCTCTTAACAAGGTACAGTATGCCATCAATTGGATCAAAGGACACAGCAGCATTCCAGGTAATGAACAGGCTGACTTTCTGGCACGAAACGTAACGACTAATCCTGATACTCCTCCTGCCTACAATCTCATTCCTAAGTCAAGACTAAAATACCTTATATGAGACAATGCTTTGGAAACCTGGCAAATGGATTGGGACGAGATCCCACAACAACATATAACAAGACGTTTTATCCCAAAGGTGAAGGAACGTGTTCACAGCAAATGGATTCAGCCCACACATGATTTAGCCCAATTTTTGACAGAACACGGGCGCTTTCGTGTTTACCTGAAAAGGTTTCACCACTCTAATTCTGACTGCTGTCAGCTGTGTGGGGTGCGGGACGGTGTCATGCACTATTTATACAACTGCCCTATGCTGGATGACATCAGGTATCAGTGCATGCAGCATGCCAATAGGAACAATATTGACTGGCCAGTAAAGCCT